AAAAAAAAAAAAAAAACAAAAACTCCTGAAGCTTGGGCAATCTGCTCACCTTGGCCTCCCAGATTGCTAGGATTACAGGCATGAGCTACTGTGCTCATCTTACTCATGGATGTTTTAAAGAATGGAACTGTATCTAATGACCTTACAATGCAAATTCTAAAGGAAAATATAGCAAATGAAGCAACCAAGGGCATCCAAAATACTACTGGAATAAAAGGGCCAAGGCCGGGAGAGGTGGCTCACACCCGTAATCCCAATACTTTGTGAGGCCAAGGTGAGGGGGATTGTTTGAATCTAGAAGTTCAGATCACCCTGGGCAACATAGCAAGACCCCATCTCTACAAAAAATAAACTAAAAAATTAGCCGAGTATGGTGTCACACACGCGTAATCCCAGCTACTCATGAGGCTGAGGTGGGAGGATCAAGGCTGTAGCGAGCTATGACCATACCATTGCACTCTGGCCTGGGTGACAGAAGGAAACCCTGTCTCTATAAAACAAACCAAAAAAGGTTCCATGCCCTGTCTGCCTTTTACAAGGGTTGCTTTTGGAGCTGAATCAACCCACGACTCATTCGAAAATGTAAAAACTAAACAAAATGATTAAGCAAAGGGGTTAAAAATGGTGATTTTTTTAACCTTTTAGGAGCCATAAGTTCTGTGAGCATTCACTAACCCTGGACACATGCACTTACCCAGAGTGCCCCTCCCACCATGTGCAGGTACCCCAGGGTGGTAGAGCCTTACGGAAGTCTCATCCTAAGCTAGGCATCAAGGCCCCAAATCCTGGCCCAGCCTCATCCTCTCCCATATTCACTCTGCTCTGGCGTCATATACTGTGTCCCTGCAGCCACATGCCATTCACCCATCTCACCTCCAGACCCCAACCAATGCCAGTGCTCAGGAGACCACTCCCAGGACCCCTTGCAGAGGACCCCAACCCAGCTGGGGAAATGGAGAAGCTATCTACACCCACCCACACTGCTCTGCCCATCCATGCTCTGAGCTCACCACTGCTCACAGAGTCCTGCACGTGCCTATCTCTGACCTGCGAGTTTCTAGTCTGCCTCCCCACTGCACTGAGAGCCTTTGAGGGCGGATCAGGGTCTGCCCCAGCCTCCATTGAGTCCCATCTCCCAGAACAGAGCCTGGCAACACCTTCCCTTTCCCACACTCTGGCCCAGCCCCACCCATCACACTCACCTCTCCCATTCTTCCTCAGCCTCCTCAGCAGTGAGTGTGCGGTGCCGGGCCAGGGGTGTGAAGTTGTACCAGTTGTGCACAGGGAAGGCCTCAAAAGCCCCATCAGGGCACTGGGTGAAGATGTAGTAGGATGTGTTCTCTGTCACGCCTCCCTTCTTTATGCCTTTGAACCTGCAAGGAGCCATATTCATGGCCTGGCCCAAGAGACTGGTCTGGGCCTGCCTGCATTCCCAGACCCTGCCTCTAAGGCGCCTGCCAAGGCTCTCCGAAGAAAGCCTAGAGTTAAATGAGGCTGTGGGGAGGCTTTTTGACCATCTTTTTTTTTTTTTTGTAGAGACAGAGTCTCACTTTATTGCCCTTGGTAGAGTGCTGTGGCTTCACACAGCTCACAGCAACCTTCAACTCCTGGGCTTAGGCAATTCTCTTGCCTCAGCCTCCCGAGTAGCTGGGACTACAGGCACCTGCCACAATGCCCAGCTTTTTTTTTAGTTGCAGTTCTGCCGGGGCCAGGTTTGAACTCGCCAACCTTGGTATATGGGGCCGGCGCCCTACTCACTGAGCCATAGGCGCTGCCCCGACCACCCAAGTCTTAACTTCCACATCTGGAGAGCAGGACCAGTCCTCCGGCCCTACAGAGTAGGTTTAAAGGTGGGTATGTTTTGTGTATCATGACCGTTTCTGCAAGGGCTGAGTTAGATCAGCCATGAAGAGCCCAGCCCTGGAGTCAGACCTGTCTAGATTTGTCTCTGGTTCTATGGTTTTCAAGCTGTAGCTGGCAGCCTAAAGAAACAGGGAGGGGACTAAGGTGGGACAGGGAGACATTGCTGGATCTGAAGGACATTTGGCTGGGCAACATCTCCAGGAGGCTAAATGACTTCCTAGCTTCCTCAAGGGCCTTGCCACACCCTCTTCTGCCCTAAATGTCTAGGCAGTCATCTCGCATGAATGCCTTTCCCTGACTACAACTTTCTAGGGATCCCCAAGGCCCAGGGTCTGGCCATATCCTGTAATCCACTGCCCTGCACCAGCCAGCCCACTGTCTATTACCATCACGCACTTCTTCCCCACATGTCCAGAAGGTTAGGCTGCTTGGGGTGCCCTTCATCAGCCTGACCTTCACCTCTCTTGCTCTGTCCTCAGGTTTCCCTCTACAAAAGATTGTCCCAAGCATCACAATACCCCTGCCCTAATCAGCCCCTTGGGCTTCTTACACTGTGGCACTCAGAGCTGCCAGTGGCCTAGGTACAAGCACCAGCCCAATTCATCTGCAAAAACAAAACCCTACAAGGGCGGGAGTGCTGGCTCTCTCACTGCACAGGTTCAGAGAGCACATCTTACAAAGTGTGCAGGCATGAGGGAGCATGTGGGCTGGTTCCTCAGCTGGCACCCACCACCCATACGCCACTTACTTCCTGCCTGATTTGCCATTGACACGGAGCAGCCAGGGCTGGTCCTCGGCCCGGAACTCTTTGAGGACAACACCATACTTCTTCCTCCGGGCCTCCTCTCGAAGCTTGCGGTTGAACTCACTGCCCGCACCTGACTCGGGCATCTCTTCCTCTTGGTAAATTTTCTTGTTGCTCAAGTCTCGTTCCAGTCGAGCCTGCAGGGGAGCAAGAAGCAAAACCTCTCAGGGTCCCTGCCTCTGCTTGGGCTGTACCCACAACTAGAAACACCTTTCACTCTCCATAAGCTGAGCTCTAGATGCTCAAAGACAGCTTTTGGTGTAGTAAAATAAGAAGCAGAATGTTAGGACTCGGTGAACCTGGGTAAAAGGGATTTGGGTAAACCTTGTGCTGCATCCTTTTTTGCAACTTTTTTTGGAGACAGAGTCTTACTTTTTTGCCCAGGCTGGAGTACCATGGCATCAACCTACTCAGAGCAACTTCAACCTCATGGTCTCAAGAGATTCTCTTGCCTCAGCCTCCCAAGTAGCTGAAAATACAGGAACCTGCCATAATACCTGGCCAATGTTTATTTTCAGTAGAGATGGAGTCTTGCTCTTGCTCA